CTTTGGCTTAACAGCAAGTCGCTGCTCATAAATACGGGACAAGAGGAGGCAATTGCTGACCTTGCAGCGACCTATCTGGCATATCTTTTTCCAGGTCTCTGCTGCTACATGGTGACGAATCTTGGGTGTTCAATTTAGATAGATTTCAAAGTCATCTTGCTAACTTTATGTACTGAAGCCCACTCAGAACGTCTTTTACTTCTTTTTTTTGGGGGGGGGGATGGGGGGGCGGAGGAGGTGGGGATGACTCTTCGCTGCGCTCAGCTCAGGATATGCCTTGAGAACTGGCTAGCAGCACAGCGCGTCACGAAAGTACAAGGGACTGGCGGGATCATTCTCTTAGCTGGCTTCGTTCCTGTATGCTGGTTCCTGGTTCAGCCACTTTCTTTGGGAATCAATGGCGCCGCCATCGCAACCTCTTTGGGGCATTTGTTCCTGATGCTCTGGATGGTAGCTCAGACCTTCCTCGCCATGCGCTCTTCCCTGAAGATGTCGTGGCAGGGCCCCTCCCGCCGGGCCTTTGCAGACTGGTACCTTGCCGGTTCAGGGTTTAGGGTCTAGGGTTTAGGTTTTAGGGCTTAGGTGAAATTCCTGTGCCCTGTTCGAAGTCTTAAGGGTATAAGATGGTATGAGGGACCTAATGAGGTAACCGATGCCCTACTAGTCAGGTACCCCTTCCTCCGCTTGGCCGTGGCAAGCCTGTTCGTGATCTCCGATCCTTGGGCATGGTCGCTTCTTAATCAAAGTCCCGGTCCCTAGTACTAATGTGGCCTTCGATGTGGGCATCTCCCGCCCCCAATAAGGGCACCCTTAATATGCCCCAAAATAGTATGGTCCTTATGATTGGACCCAACCCCCCCCCAAAAAAAGTATTATCCATATTCTAGGTACCATTAATATACCCCACAATAGTATTATGGTCCTTATCAAAGGAACCCCCCAAAAGGGTACCCCTATTTAATCGTAAGCCCCCCCCGTATGTAGGGACCGACAGAGAGAAGCATAGTTGAAAGAAGGTCCGCCTTTGACCTGCAGTTCACTTGATGCCTGTGCCTAAGGGTTCAGGATTTAGGGTTTAGGTTTTAGGGTTTAGGGTAGGTTTTAGAAATTTTAGGGTTTAGGGTTTAGGGTTCAGGGTTTAGGGTTTCGGGGTCCGTGCCCGCGCGGCCATATCCAGACCTCTCGATACAGTAGGGCCTGCAGGCAGCAGTAAGCCCAAACCCTAAGCCCTAAACCCCTAACCCCTAACCCCTAACCCCTAACCCCTAAACCCTAAACCCTAAACCCTAAACCCTAAACCCGAAACCCTAAACCCTACACCCTAGCCTCTTCACCAAAGCTCGCTCAGAAGCGCTGGGCTTCCGAGATCATCGTCTTGCTGGCTGGGACCCTTCCAGATCCTTTCTTCGCCTTTAGTTGAGCTGTATACTTCTTGGGTTTAGGGTTTAGGGTTTAGGGTTTAGGGTTTAAGGTTTGTTTCCCCTTGGTAATTGGAGAAGTAAGGATCCAGAGGCCAACCTGGCAGCCATGACCATCTTTGCCAACACCTGCTTGCCTCTTGGGCTTAGAGTTTAGGGTTCAGGGTTCAGGGTTTTTGGCTTAGGGTTTAGGGTTTAGGGTTTAAGGTTTAGGGTTTAGGGTTTAGGGTTTAGGGTTTAAAAGTTTAGGGTTTAGGGTTTAGGGTTTAGGGTTTTTACGGATGTGGGGGAAAAATCCGAAAGCCAGGAGTCTTTTCGGGGTTCCTGCAGTGAAACTTTAATGATGGCGAATTTTCTTGGGGGGCTGGAGGGGGGGGGTACACCTTCTTTTGGGAAATGCTCACGTTGGTTGGTTGGCTGGCTGGCTGGTTGGTTGGTTGGCTGGCATGTCAGTTTTACGTCGCCTTGTATGCATCTTCATATGAAGGGGCTTCAGGGTTTCAGGTCTTTTGGGAGCTTGCTCTAGGAACCGGTTGTCGTAATGATGGTCCTTCACTTACACTTGGTCCCTAAAGATGTTACACTACAAGGGACCCAACCAGAATGCAAAGCAAAAAAAGGCCCTAAACGCCCAAAGGGACCGAGATGTAGAGACTCGCCCATCTTTAGCCCAACCCCAAACCTCAAGCCCCAAACCCCACACCCCGACCAAACCACAAACTTCAAACCCTAAACCCTAAACCCCAAACCCCTACACCCTCAACCCTAAACCCTAACCCTACACCCTAAACCCTAAACCCTAAACCCTAAACCTTAAACCCTGACTTTAACCCTAAATTTTCACAGCTGAGGCTTCTGTCAATGCCGCCCCTGAGCTTGGGCTGTGCCGGGACCGTGCCCCAGTCGGTTTGCAGCGGTTTAGGGTTTAGGGTTTAGGACTTAGGGTTTAGGGTTTAGGGTTTAGGGGGTTAGGGGTTGGGAGGGTTTAGGGTTTAGGGGGTTAGGGGGGTTTGGGGGTTCAGAGGTACAGGGTTGTTTTGGGGTTTCGGGGTTCGGGCGAGAAAGCTAAGCCCTAAAGCCCAAGCCTACCAATCCCTACTGAAAACACCATGAACGCCAGGCCCTGCCGGCCATATGCCCCACAGAAGTCCGTCCCTCGTGGCCTCAACCTCAAACTCGCAAGGGCTAAGGGCAAAGCTCTTTCAGGGGATAAATCTTAGCCCTAAACCCTAAACCCCCAGAACCATAGGGCACAAGCATGCACAAGCCCTTTTTGCTGGAGAGGAACACGCGCGTCAGCAACGAGCTCGGTGCTGGGTCCCCCTGCGCAGCTCACTTTGCGGCCAAGGTGAACTACAGGTGAGGGGGGGGGGGGGTTTAGGGTTTAGGGTTAGGGTTTAGGGTTTAGGGTTTAGGGTTTAGGGTTTAGGTTTTAGGCCTAGTATTTGCTTAAGAACCCCCCCCAAAAAGCACGAAACCCTTTAAATATTGTTGATAGTAGAGGCAGGTCTACGTGGTGACAGGCGAGATTAAGGGTTTAGGGTTAGGGGGGGTTCAGGGGTTTAGGGTTCAGGGCTTGGGGTTCAGAGTTCAGGGTTTAGGGTTACAGGGCTTGGGGTTCAGGGTTTAGGGTTCAGGGTTCAGGGTTTAGGGTTTAGGGTTTAGGGTTTAGGGTTTAGGGTTTAGGGTTTAGGGTTCAGGGTTTGGGGTTTAGGGTTTAGGGTTTAGGGGGATCAAGGTTTAGGTCTTGGGGGTTGAGGGTTTTTGGGCCCAGCATCGATTGTCTTGAGTTTCGCGCGAAGGGCCTGTAGGGACGAAGGGGGAGAAGCAAGCCCCTTCTTCTCTCTTTTTTTAGGGTTTAGGTTCCCTCATAAGCTCCGTTAAACCAAGAAGGGTACCGTTTTGTATTCTCCGGTTACTCTCGGGTCTAGGTATTCAGGCTTCGAGAGCACGGAGGTTTCTAGGGGTGCAGGGTGCGACGCTTCGGGAGGTTGTGAGACGAGGGCTAAGCACCCCAAAAGCCTTAATGGGGGAGTAGGGTAAAACCCCTCAACCCTCAACCCTAAACCCCTCAACCCCTAAGCCCTAAGCCCCTAAACCCCAAACCCTTCAAAGCCTAAACCCTAAACCCTAAACCCCAGACCCTTCAAAGCCCGGACCGGCCCTAAAAGTTTGGGACTATGCTTGGCCTCCGTGCTTTCTGCGGCAATGCTGGCGGGCCGGTGCATATGGATCCACCTGATCACTTGCGATCATGAGGCTGGGTGATTCAGTTTTGGGCTTAAGGCTTCCATGTGTTGTTTTGTTGGAACTTCGCACAGGACCTACGAAGTTTGAAAGGGTGGCCGCTGGCACTGCACCGGCGAAGTTTAGGAGACTTACTTCCTAAAGCGGTGCTTCGGCGGGGAAGAGCGCCCACAGAGAGAGAGAGAGAGAGAGAGAGAGAGACACATCGTTACTCAGTGGGAACGTTAGTCCCTCGATTTGTGGCAAGCACGCCAACGGAGTCATGGCCCCCCTGTTTCCTCTGGTTCGATGCATCAACGAGTCGCAGGTGCCACAAGTCTTCCATGGTCCATACACATGCACACGCGCACACCACAACTGCAGATGAGTTTGGTAGAAGCTCCAAGAGAGGCGTGCACAAGAAATAGACACGACAAGACACCGCCAAAAGAGCTTGGCCCACTTGCGGCGCCACCAAGGCGGGTGAAAATTCCACGAGACAGAGTGTCCGAAACAACAGATTGAATGTGGGTTTCGGCATGTGGGAGGAAACATGTCAGGGGTCCTAGAACAAGGACCCTGGCATTTTGTGGGGATATATTCGGCGGACTACGGACTACGGATCTTGGGGAATACCCAAAGTGATGCTAAACCCTAAACCCTAAACCCTAAACCCCAAACCCTAAACCCCAAACCCTAAACTTGCCCTAAACCCTAAGCCCCGAACCCAAAGAACTCTGCCACGAACCAGGTCCTGCATCATACAAAGCAGATTCTCCTCATCTGCCCCCTCTACGTGGCCCTGGACTGCATGTGCACAGCTTCTTTGGCTGCAGGGTTTAGGGTTTAAGGTTTAGGGTTTAGGGTTCTAAGGGCAAGCTGTTGCAGCATGCTCTTCAACCACCCGTTGCTTCAGGATGATCCTGCTAAATTCTCAGCCCTAGAACCTACAAGCCCCCAAACCCAAAACCCTCAAGCAAAAACCGAGCCTAAACCCTAAACCTTAAACCCTAAACCCTAAACACTAACCCCAAAACCCTAAACCCTAAACCCTAAACCTTAAACCTAAAGCCCACCGCCAGCTTAGGTGACGAATGGTACCTTGAAGGGCTGTGGGCGCCGGGTACCTGGAGCATTGGGGCTTCGAAGATTTACAGCTCAGTGTTTGGGGTTTAGGGTTTAGGGTTCAGGTTTCAGGGTTCAGGGGTTGGGGCCACAGTAGCAGTTTATGGCTTTAGGGCTTTGGGGTTGAGAGTTTCTGGTACCTTAGGTTTTAGGGGTTTGAGGGCTTTAGGGGCGGCTGTGAGTTTCTTGCTTGAGGGTTCAGGGGGTGGGAGGATGGACACTATGAACTACAAAGCGTATCTCAACCCCTTGCCAAAACCTCCAAATCCTGTACCGAAACCTCCAAGCCCTGTCAACCCCAATCCGCAAAGCAACTAAACCCCAAGGGAGGCCCTTGTTCTTGACCCAAACCCCCTTCAGAACCTCGTAAGGTGGGGTTTGTGGGCTTTGAGGGATTCGGGTTTAGGCTTTTGGGGTTTTGCCTTTTTTTTGCAGGACGAATGAGAGGAGGGGGAAGGAGCGGGGGTGGTTGGGGGATGTGGTGGGTTAAGGGTTTAGGATGACTGCTTTGCCTACTCTTTAAGAGTCTTTTACGAACCATAGCACCAGCAAAGACCATGGTTCCAGTGGAGAGGTCGGAGCTCGGGGGCGGGGGGGGGGGGGGGGCGGATGTAGCCGCTACAAACTGCAAAAAGGGTTCCCCCCTCCAACTAGTTTGCCCGAAGCTGTATGCCCTAAGGCCCATCTTGCTGCTTTAGGGTCGGGTGGGGGGGTGCTTGGAGCTTTGTTAGGGTACTTATTGTAAGCAGGGTTGTTAGTAGGGTACTCTGGGTATTACCTTATTTAGGGTTCCTCTAACTTATAACCCCACTCATTGTACATACATGAGGCCAACTGCTCTTGGCGCCTGTTGCGCTTCGGCTGCATTCTTATGGGTCTTCGGGTGTCTAAACCCTACACACTTTCAAATCGTGACACTGAAATGAGCCTCCCGTTGTCGTCCGGGATGCGCCTGAAAGCTCCTAGACTTAAGCTTAGGGTTTAGGGTCTAGGGTCTAGGGTCGAGGGTCTAGGGTTTAGGGATTGCCAACATACACCCTGAAATCTTTAACCATGAGCACCTGATTCTTCGACTCCCTATAACACAACGTTTCCTGGCACTACCTACTACTATTTCAGATGCACCCCGAAGCCCAAAAACCCGAGAAGCCTAAGCCCTAAGCCCAGCATCCCTCTACTGAACCACCAGGTAGTGGGGGTTCAGGGTTGAGGGTTTTGGGTTTAGACCCTAAACCCTAAACCCTAAACCCTAAACCCTAAACCCTCAACCCTAAACCCTAAACCGGAAGCCCCATAAGAACCCTCAGTTTGGCAGGTCTCAGCGTCCTACTTCCTCATCGGCATACCCTCCGCCTGGCTCTTTGCTTGGCCAGGCCCGGAAGGGGTTTAGGGTTTAGGGTTTAGGGTTTAGGGTTTAGGGTTTAGGGTTTAGGGTTTAGGGTTAAGGTTTAGGGGCTCTGAACCCCAAACCTTAAGCCCATCTAACACCTGGCTTAGGGTTTTAAACCCTCGGTAAATTACTGATTTCAGTAGTCTCAAGTCCTGACCTCTTGGCCCAACATGCCCTAAGCCTCCACCCGAAAATGGGTGGGGTCAAAGGCCGGGCGTGCAAAGTGCGAACTTTTCGGGCTCCAGCTCGTGGAAGGTTGAGGGTTCAGGGTTTGTGGTGACACTTTCCGGATTACCCTAAACCCTAAACCCTAAACCCTAAACCCTAAACCCTAAACCCTAAACCCTAAACCCTAAACCCTAAACCCTAGCGGTTTGGAGGGTGGGGTTTGCAGGTCTGGTTGTCGCGCCTATGGTGACCCCTCAACCGTAACGCATGCCTGGGCAGTCCCCTTCAGATGAGCATTCGCAGGTTTGGCAGCCTTGTCTACAGCAAAGGTGTCTGTCTGTCCGTGTGCATGTCTGTGTATGCATGTGTTGATGTATGAACTGATTGCAATGCAGACCAATGCTACCGCAATACCAATGCAATGCCAGTTTTATGCCTGTCTTGCTTCGCAATGTGTTCTTGCGGATAGCCTCTGGTCTGTGTGGTCCAGCTGGTCTAACCGAACTGGACCTGCTTCCCATGAGGCCAAATGAGTGCAAGAGGCTTAGCCCTCGGATCCTCTATCGGCACCTTCGCTCACTGCGTGGCCGTGTCAGCACGGAGCTCAGAACTCAACCAAGGGACTCTTGACCTAAAAGTCTCGAGGGTTTATCAAAACCCAAGGCGTATTGAGCCATCTCCACACATGAGTGAAGTGATTGACTGGCTCCGCTTTAGGAAAGCCGAAGCCCTGCTGTTCACAGAAGCTGAAGACGAAGCCATAGGTCAGGCAGCCGTCGGTCAGGGTTCTGTTAACTCCATGGAACAAGCCATGACCCCTCAACCCTAAACTCGAAACCCTAAACCCTCGGAACCCTGTACTTAAGCTCCAAATTTCAAACACGCCCGGAGCTCCTAAACCGGTTCATTGTTCGGGCTGATGGGCAGGCTTGGTGTGTAGGGTGGGCGGAAAGGCCGGCTAGCCCAATAGTACCATTGTTGCTTGTGCTTAGCGTTAAGGTCCTTCTCAAACCACATTTAAGGGGCGCCCTTTTCATTCGGGTTTCTCGGGTTCATTGAGCGGGCTTAGAATGTAGGGTGTAGGGTCTTCGTCATACCTACCATCTTTTCATTCGAACCAACACCCCCCTGAACCCTAAACCCTGAAACCTAAACCCTAAACCCTAAACCCTAAACCCTAAACCCTAAACCCTAATCGTTGCATCTGAGCCCAGGAACTATCTCCCAACTCAGCATCTCATGAAATCTGCAGGGCGCTAAGCAGCCGACCCCGGCAACCTAAACCCCGAAAGCCTAAACCTAAAACCTAAACTGCGAGCAAGGCCCCTGATTAGCTGCCGGCAAGGCAGCGGGCCGCAGCGAGCCCGCCGAGCCTCTAGCGACGGCAGCCGACAACTGAGTAGCGACAGTCTAGCAGTTGGAGGCAGATGCTCTCTTTAGTGCCAGAAGAGTTAGCTTCTGGCACCGTAACGCACTCCTCACAGCTTTGAAAGAGGGAACAGGGCGTACAGCCCTAAAGCATATTTTATTACCCTAAAGCCTAGACCCCCGTCCTTCCCCTTTAAAAATTAGGATTTAGGATTTAGGATTTAGGATTTAGGATTTAGGAATTAGGAATTAGGATTTAGGATTTAGGATTTAGGATTTAGGATTTAGGATTTAGGATTTAGGATTTAGGATTTAGGATTTAGGATTTAGGATTTAGGATTTAGGATTTACGATTCAGGGGCCTCTCTGGGGAGGCCCGGCTTCGTAATTTAGTATTCGGGCGAGGCCCGGCTTCGTAATTTAATATTTTGGGGAGGCCCGGCTTCGTAATTTAGTATTCCGGGGAGGCCCGGCTTCGTAATTTAGTATTGCGGGGAAGCCCGGCTTCGTAATTTAGTATTCCGGGGAGGCCCGGCTTCGTAATTTAGTATTCCGGGGAGGCCCGGCTTCGTAATTTAGTATTCCGGGGAGGCCCGGCTTCGTAATTTAGTATTCCGGGGAGGCCCGGCTTCGTAATTTAGTATTCCGGGGAGGCCCGGCTTCGTAATTTAGTATTCCGGGGAGGCCCGGCTTCGTAATTTAGTATTCCGGGGAGGCCCGGCTTCGTAATTTAGTATTCCGGGGAGGCCCGGCTTCGTAATTTAGTATTCCGGGGAGGCCCGGCTTCGTAATTTAGTATTCCGGGGAGGCCCGGCTTCGTAATTTAGTATTCCGGGGAGGCCCGGCTTCGTAATTTAGTATTCCGGGAAGGCCCGGCTTCGTAATTTAGTATTCCGGGGAGGCCCGGCTTCGTAATTTAGTATTCCGGGGAGGCCCGGGGACTTGCTTCCTCTTGGCTGGGAGGGGCCGTTTTGGTCAAAAATCCAGAAAACGAGAGCCCACCCGGGACCGTCGATTTCAGTACTAAAAAATCACATTTTAAATAGGGACCCGGGCCGATCCTGGGGTACCCCTCATTTGGGGTGTTTTTGGAGGCAAACTTTCCCTCTCAAGGGGGGGTCGGAGTTTGAGGCAAGGGGGGGTCTCCGAAGACTATTTTGCTTTTAAAATTGAAAAACACCACCCCCCCTTGACCAAAACTAGGCTGTGAAAAGGTCGCGGGGGCGGCCCTTCTGAGGCTTAAAAACACTGAAAAACATTGAAAAACTTTAAAAAACATTGAAAAACTCTGAAAAACCTTGAAAAACCTTGAAAAACTTGCAATCCTGAGGTGAAAGCTCCGTTTTGGTCAAAAAACCCAGAAAACGAGAGCCCACCCAGAACCGTCGATTTCAGTACTAAAAAATCGCATTTTAAATAGGGGCCCGGGCCGATCCTGGGGTCCCCCTCATTTGAGGTGTTTTTAGAGGCGAACTTTCCCTCTCAAGGGGGGTCGGAGTTTGAGGCAAGGGGGGGCTTCGTAATTTAGTATTCCGGGGAAGCCCGGCTTCGTAATTTAGTATTCCGGGGAGGCCCGGCTTCGTAATTTAGTATTCCGGGGAGGGCCGGCTTCGTAATTTAGTATTCCGGGGAGGCCCGGCTTCGTAATTTATTATTCCGGGGAGGCCCGGCTTCGCAATTTAGTATTCCGGGGAGGCCCGGCTTCGTAATTTAGTATTCGGGGAGGCCCGGCTTCGTAATTTAGTATTCCGGGAGGCCCGGGGACTTGCTTCCTCTTGGCTGGGAGGGGCCGTTTTGGTCAAAAATCCAGAAAACGAGAGCCCACCCGGGACCGTCGATTTCAGTACTCATTTGGGGTGTTTTTGGAGGCAAACTTTCCTTCTCAAAGGGGGTCGGAGTTTGAGGCAAGGGGGGGTCTCCGAAGACTATTTTGCCTTTAAAATTGAAAAATACGACCCCCCCTTGACCAAAACTAGGCTGTGAAAAGCTCGCGGGGGCGGCCCTTCATCATAATTGAGGGTTACAAACCCTGAAACACCTTGAAAAACATGGAAAAACCATAAAAAAACTGAAAAACGCTGAAAAACCTTGAAAAACCTTGAAAATCCTTGAAAAACTTGAAATCCTGAAACCGGTGAGGGCTCGGTTTTGGTCAAAATCCAGAAAACGAGAGGCCACCCAGAGGCGTCGATTTCAGTACTAAAAAATCGCATTTTTAACTGGGACCGGGCCGATCCTGGGGTCCCCCTCATTTGGGGTGTTTTTGGAGGCAAACTTTCCCTCTCAAGGGGGTCGGAGTTTGAGGCAAGGGGGGGTCTCCGAAGACTATTTTGCTTTTAAAATTGAAAAATACGACCCCCCCTTGACCAAAACTAGGCTGTGAAAAGGTCGCGGGGGCGGCCCTTCATCATAATTGAGGGTTACCTCTTGTTGGGTTTTTTGAAGCTTTTTGAAGCCGCTAAACGTTCTTGTACACAGCGGCGCCACAGAGCGCAGCGACAGCGAGCGATGGTGCCATGCTCCGAGCGCGATTTTGGGACCCACGTCCTGGCCCGTTCGGGCGGCTCCTCCCGGACAGTTTCTAGGCTTTTTGGGCTCCTCGCGCGCAGTTTCTAAGCCTTTTTCCCGGAGAGTTTCCGAGCCTTCAGCGGCGCCACAGAGCGCAGCGACAGCGAGCGATGGTGCCGCGGCCCCGAGCGCGATTTTGGGACCCTCCGTCTTGGCCTGTTCTGGCCTGTGGAGGCCCGGCCTTGTAATTTAACATTCCGGGAGGCCCGGGGTGCCCAAAACCATCGATTTCAGTACTAAAAAATCGCACTTTCATTGCGGGCCAGGGCAGATCCTGGGGCCCCCTCTTGTTGAGGGTTTTTTGAAGCTTTTTCAAGCCTTTTCAAGGCTTTTTTTGGTGCCTCTAAACGTTCTTGTACACAGCGGCGCCACAGAGCGCAGCGACAGCGAGCGATGTCGCCGCGGCCCCGAGCGCGATTTTGGGGCCCGCGTCCTGGCCTGTTCTGGCCTGTTCGGGCGTCAAGACACAACATATAAACATACTGCTGCCCTCTGCTGCTGCTTTACTTGTCCTTTTGATTTATATTCAAATGGCTGTATATTATTAAAAAATATCAATTACAGGAGAGAATACAAAGCAACCATCGAACTATCCCAAAAAATAAACCCTAAACCCTAATAGAGTAAGGTTTGGGTGGTCTTGGGGTGGGTTTTTAGCTTTCGCGCGACGCGCCGCCCACGACCCCTTGGGTCGAGGCGCGTCGCTTCAGTCAGCAAACCCTAAACCCTAAACCCTAAGCCCCAAACCCTAAACCCTTAACCCTTGACCCTTAACCCTTAACCCTTAACCCTTAACCCCAAACCCCAAACCCCAAACCCCAAACCCTAAACCCTAAACCCTAAACCCTAAACCTTAAACCCCAAACCCTAAACCCAGCCCTTCGGGAGCTCAGGTAATCTTGTGGACCACCAACTGGGTCCTCATGTCGCGGGTAGCCAGGGAGCGAGCGCAAGCAAAGCCCCTGCTTCTGCGCTGAGACGGTGCCTCGCTCTAGGTTAGGGTCCTGTTATCGGGTGACCGTGTTATGAATTTATAGCCCTAATCCCTAAACCTTGAACCCGAAACCCTGCACCCTAAACCCTAAACCCTAAACCCTAAACCCTAAACCCTAAACCCTAAACCCTAAACCCTAAACCCTAAACCCTAAACCCTAAACCCTAAACCTAAACCCTAAACCCTAAACCCCAAACCCTAGACGCACAAAAGTTGTCCACAAGAGGAGGCCCTGATGTGCAACAGCCCGCCATGCGGGTTTCAAGATGACCCTTGAGGACACCAGTTCCACAACCTGCCAGAGGTGGTGTACAGAGCCCGACGATGCCTTAGAGCACCTCTCTGTCTCTGCATGAATTAGACCTATACATGCCATACTGCTTATAACTTGGTAGACCGGTGGTAACCTTTAGCGCTTTTTGTTGGGGGTCTTGGGTTCCCTTATAAGGGGCACCCTTGTTGCAGTATGGTTACTGGGCTATGTAGGGTTTAGGGTTTAGGGTTTAGGGTGCAACCCCGGCTACCAAGATCATGTGCAAAAATCGACTTTGCATGCGCCGTGCGAATGCTGGCGCAGCGCGTCCCACTGAGCCGGAAGTGACATGTCTGAGATAAGGTTCATAACTTGGGATCCCCCTTATACTAACAGCCCCTTAATAGGGATGCTACTGCAGTACCCCCTAAGGGGGAACATCCCAATTCGTAACGTTTGGGTTGTAGGCTGAAGGTTTTTCTTCGGGTTGAGGGCGTAGAGCTGAGGACACAAGGCCCATTGTGTGGACGTGCTGGCGAAGACAGGAGCAGTCTTTGATATTTTCAGGACGGAGTGAGTCTTCCCCTAAACCCGGGACCAGAAAGCCCCTAAACATATACGGGCTTAGGGTTTGGGGTTTAGGGTTTAGGGTTTAGGGGTGTATTCAAGTCTATGAGCCTAGGCTCTCGCTTCGTCCACTTAGAGATGTTGCCAGGCGCAACTGGCAAGTGCCAATCTCGGGAGCTTGAGGTAGCAAAGCCAGTACCGAAGTAGCCTGGTTTGTTTGGGGTTTAGGGTTTAGGGTTTAGGGATTAGGGATTAGGGTTTAGGGTTTAGCAGGAACTGTACGAAGATGATATAGTCAAGCATGTCGGCTCCTGCACTACCAGGAGTCCAGCTATCAGCCCCCTAGGAATTCTGCTGTGTTTTTACGGAACTTCAAGGGATTCCTTCAACGATATCAGCATACTTTACGGGTTTCAGGATCTCTGATGGAAGTTACAAGAGCAGCTGCCAGAAAAAATCTCATTGTTACTCCTTAAACGCTAAACCCTGAACCCTGAACCCTAAACCCTAAACCCTAAACCCTAAACCCTAAACCCTAAGGCCTAAGGCCTAAGGCTTGGAAGGCCTTACCTCAAGATCCTTGTTCGAAGCTGGGGGTTCAGGGGTTCAGGGTTTAGGGTTTATACTACCAATTAAGAACCCCCCCAAAAAGATTATTTTTTGGCGTAGAACCTCCAAAACATAGAGAAATATCATTCCCTATATTACCCTTATCAGGGAGATTGTGTTTTTTGTGTTTTTTTTGGGTGTGCAGAAGCAATTCGTTGTAAGAAGCGAATGGAAAGTACTTTTTCATGTGCTTGTCCGATCGGGCCTCATTTGAAAGAAGGATGCCTTTGCTAAAGGTGCGCCGGAAAAAAAACACACACACCAGCCTAGTGTTGGTTTGGGGGGGCCCGAGGCCGGGGGCCGGGGGGGGCGGGCTGGGGGGCGGGGGGGCGGGAAGGGCCGGGGGGGGGGGGGGGGGGGGGGGGGGGAGCCTTAAGCCGGAAACAACCAGGGTTGAGCAGGTTTAGGTTAGGGATGTAGGGTTTCGGGTCGCCAGAGGGACTTTTTCGGATGCAGGGTTTGGGGTTTAGGGTTCAGGATTTAGGATTTAGGGGGGTTTAGGGTTAGGGTACGGGGTAGGGGGGAGTGGGGGGGAGTGGGGGTAGTAGGGGGGGGTAGTAGGGGGTAGTAGGGGGTAGGCAGAGAGATGAGTTCTTCATTTTGTTAGGCGACTACCGGGATTCCTTGCGGTCGGGCGTAGATTCGCCCCGGAAGATCATCCTCACCATGGAAGAGTCTCAATCAGAAGCTGCAATCCATGAACCCTTCATGAAAGGATGCGCATCCATGTGTGTGTTTTTTTGATATCCGGGGTACCTTATTGGGGTCCATGTTTTTTTAAGAGGGGAGCCTGCTATGTTGGCGGGGTCAAAATAGGGGGGGTCCCCCTTAGTCTCGTTTAAACTCCCATGTTGAGCTGCCCTAAGCCCTAAGCCCTAAGCCCTAAACCCTAGACCCTAAACCCTAAACCCTAAACCCTAAACCCTAAACCCTAAACCTTGAGTTTGAGGGCCCTCCGTGATGCGAAGCCCTTTGGACGAGTTTCCCCCCGAGTAGGAGCGGGGATGGCGCGGGCCCTTGAGGCCGGGCATCGGACGGCACTTGCTTGCGGCAGACGGGTCTCATGTGGCAGGTTTGGGGTTCATTAGGGTTTAGGGTTTGGGGTGTAGGGTTTAGGGTTTGGGGTTTAGGGTTTAGGGTTTAGTTTCGCTTCCCCGGCCTGCAACTTTGTGCAGGATGCATGCACCTTGACCATAGAACTGCTGAGCAACGAACTCCATGTTCTCCCCTAAATCCTAAACCCCAAACCCAAACCCAAAAGCCTAAAGCCTAAGCCCTAAACCCTAAACCCTAAACCCTAAACACTAAACCCCCTCCCCCCCCCCCCAGGAAGATGAGGCGGATGAGGCCCTTGAGCCGGACCACACGGGGAGCATCCGCCAGGCCATCACTTGTTTCGGTTTGCTCGCAGCCCTAGACTTTTCCTAAACCTAAACCCTAAACCCTAAGCACGAAGGGTTTAGGGTTTATGGAAATTGTATAGGGTTTTGGTTCCAATAGCGTTTTGAACGAAACTTTTTGAACGAAAGTTTGACCGAAAGTATTGAACGAAACGTGTTGTATTTTGGAACCCAGCTTTTGCTTCTTGTGAGGGGTCTTGGGGCAAGGGGGGAACGCTGCCCATTACGAAACATTTTGGAACTATGTTTTTCGTTTTTGTTGGGGGCGGGGGGGTGGGTTGGGTGGGGGAGCTGCGGGGAGAGGGGGGGGGGGGCTCTGGTGGGAGGGGGCTCTGGAGGGGAAAGCAGCAAATGTGGGTGGGCCTTCTGAAGCCAATTTGGGCCTGCTCGCCTTCTGAAGCGAATCTGGGCAGCCAAGTTTAAGCCTTCTGAAGCCAGTTTGGGTTGTCTTTCTGAAGCCAATTGGGCCAATTCTGAAGCCAATTCCGGCCAATTTGAGCCTTCTGAAGCTTGTTTTCGCGGTTTGGACTAATTCGGCTTGTCAGCTGTTTAGACAAATAGCATGGTGTTTTTTTGTGGGAAGGCCCCAGAGGCTTAAGGAAATTGAGCGTTTGGCCTCCCAGGCGCTTTGGAATAGTTTCACTTAAACTCTGCTGGTCAGCTGTTTAGACACATAACTTGGGAATTCATAATGATACCACATACAGTTTATATCTGTTTTCTCTTGAGGGTTTAGGGTTTACGGTTTTCGCGTTAGGGCTTAGGGCTTGGGATTTATAGGGCTTGTAGACCAACAAGAATTTAGGGCGTAGGATTGGGGGTTATAGGGTAAGGGTCCAGGGTCTAGGGTCTAGGGATATAGGGCTTAGGGCTCAGGGTTAAGGATATTGGGTTTGTAAACGAAATAAGGGTTAGGGTTGGGCCCAAATAAGCTCCCAATATAGTTACCCTACTTATAACCCTGCTTATAAGTACCATGAACCTCCAAGTACGTGGGTATTTGGCATCCCTCATATGGGACTTCGCTAAAATAGGGATCTGCAGAATACACCCCCCACTAGTAGGATCCCCTCAAAAGAAGGACCCCAACAAGGTACCCCTAAATCCCCAACGCTAAACCCTAACAGGGGTACCCCTGACATACCCCCAAATACGATAATACTAACTAATAAAAGGAGCCCCCCAAACAGGGTACCCCTAGTTTCGGAAACCCCCATATAAACCTACAACCCCAATCCCGTGATTCGCGCCAGCCACGGTTATTTGGACCCTTACACCCCAACCCCTCTTAGGGTTTAGGGTTTAGGGTTTAGGGTTTAGGGTTTAGGGTTTAGGGTTTAGGGTTTAGGGTTTAGGGTTTAGGGTTTAGGGTCATCTACCAGTTCGCAGTAAGGAACTTTAGGGGATGGAAGGGCACCTTGTACGGCCTTGTCTTCAAGAGGTTGCTTCGGGATCCCCTCTATCCCGAGTTCCATATTCAGAACCACTGTTTAATGGGCTAGGGGTGAGGATGAAGGCTTGAGAGGGGTCACCGAAATTCCCTTGAACCCCTAAACCCTAAACCCTAAACCCTAAACCCCAAACCCTAAACCCTAAACCCTAAACCCTAAACCCTAAACCCTAAACCCTAAACCCTTAGAACCCTTGGAGCGCCCAAATACTGCTAAACCCGAAAGCCTAACGGGAGGCAGGCTGCAGGGTTTAGGGCTCAGGGTTGGAGCCCCGGGTTCGCAGCAATGGTTTAGGGTTTAGGGTTTAGGGTTTAGGGTTTAGGGTTTAGGGTTTAGGGTTTAGGGCTCAGGGCTTGCGAAGGCATTTACTTGGAAGCCCAATGGCACGCGCCCTCTTCCCTTTTCTTTTTTTGTTGGTTCAAGGTTCCCGTACGAAGTGGCCAACCCCCCAAAAAGGGTGCCCTTATCATAGAATATGGTTGTTAGGCTACCAAGTTGTATAAGTTGGGATGTTCCCCCTTATACTAGCAGTCCTCAGTAGGGATTACAATAGTTGAACCTATAATCCCCATTTAGGACTGTTAGTATGAGGGGGAACATCCCTAAACCCTAAACCCTAAACCCTAAACCCTAAACCCTAAACCCTAAACCCTAAACCCTAAACCCTAAACCCTAAACCCTAAACCCTAAACCCTAAACACTACACCCTAAACCCTAAACCCTAAACCCTAAACCCTAAACCCTAAACCCTAAACCCTAAACCCTAAACCCTAAACCCTAAACCCTAAACCCTAAACCCCACTCTAGAACCTTTCCTACCACGTTGTATACCCCTTGAATTCAGGAGGCCTTGGATCAACTGCGCCTCGCGGCACCGATCTGCCTGGGGCTCTTAGCCAATCGCTTCATGGCCACCACCTCCACGGTGATTGACCCTTGGTTTAGGGTTTAGGGTTTAGGGTTTAGGGTTTAGGGTTTGGGGTTTAGGGTTTAGGGTTTAGGGTTTAGGCTCTAAGGGCTATTATTCTAGGGTTTTTGGACCCAAAGGCCTTCTTATGTAAGGTTTTTGGGAGCTATTTTGAGCTTCAGCTCTTCCACCCCCCCAAACTACACCTTAAACAGCCTTGAGCCCCTGAGTACCTAGGCCCTAAACAGCCCCAAGCAACCCTACGCCCGTAACTTGAAACTGACATGAAGCCTGAACAACCCTCAACCCCTCAGTAGCGGAATGAGTACACTTTACACCTCTTTGGGATAATAGACGTAATCCGCTCTAGAACTGAAAGTGTGGGCTTTTTTGGGGGGGGGGGGGGCTTATGAACTCAGCATCTAAGACCCCAAAATCCTAAACCCTAAACCCCCAAAACCCCTAAACCCCAAAACCCCCCAAAACCCTTGAAGCCCTAAACCCTGAGGTTGGCCGCCTTGGGGAGGAGGAGTTGGCGGCTGTTGGCCTGGCAGTGAGCCTGGCGAACGTGTCGGGATACAGACGCCTGGCTTTGTCGAGGGACCCGAAACCCTAAACCCTAAACCCTAAACCCTAAACCCTAAGCCCTAAACCCTAAACCCTAAACCCTACATCTCCTCTAGTCCTACTCCTTGAGTCTAGAGCCCAGTACACCCCCCCCTCAAAAAGAGGGCCGAACTCTATGTGCGTTCCGCTGCATCTATGCCTTGAGCTCAGCCTTACCTGCCAAAAAGTGTGCTGCGCAGTTACTGCTCTCCCCCGATCCCACCATCAAAACCCTAAACCCTAAACTGAGCTAAACCCTCAACCCTAAACCCAAAACCCTAAGCCGGCTTAGGGTTGCGTTGCGGATTTGAGGCTCTTGGGCATGACAAAGTTGCACTGGTTTGGGAGTTGGGGAATTATCTTGGGTTTGCTTAGCAAAGGCTCCAAAAGAGCAATTTGAAAATTGAAAAATGCATAAACGAAAAGCAAAAGGCTTAAGCAAACGGTGGGATTTTTGATAGGGTCCACTTGGAATGAAAATACATGCTTGTCCACCATCTCTGTGAAAATTTCCAAATAAAGCTGAAAGGGGGGGGGGGTACTTTGCCAAAGCCCGTCCTTCCGCCCAGGCCCACGTTATGTGTTGCAGGATCGGGCGAGCGACGCCCTAAGAAAGTAAGTTATGTGTTGCAGGGTCGGGCAGACCACGCTTTGTAAGGAAGTTAATGCGTGCAGGGTCGGACGGGGCGACGCTTTGAGGAAGTTGCTGCGTTGCAACTCCCCCACCACACAAACATACGTGCATATATATATATATACACACATATCTGTATCTTTTTGTTTTCGCTTCAATCGTAATAAGAATATGAATGAGTGTGTGGAAGGTTGTGTCGAGCTCAGCATGCCGAGCTTTCCACGATGTCTGAGGGCCCTGAAAGGCAGGGACAGGCGGCTGATCAGCGACCTTTAGCCTCCGCGGGTCTGGGACACTGGTCGCAAATTCGAAGAGCCAGTTTAATAGTGGGGGTTCTCAAGCCCTTGTGCCCTAAGCCCGACATAGAATGCTCGGAGGAAGCACCGAGCAAACCCGTAAGACCCAAAACCTCGCCCTAAATCCTTAAACCCGAGCCGTGTATTCGGGGATTACACCCCGCCCCCCCTAAGTAAACCCTAAATGCCCTGCTCTACATCCTTGAGACCTAAAAACCGTCTAAACCCAGCATCTTTTTTCAGGGCCAAAAAGGCAAGCTGGGCTTCTTCATGGACACGCCATCAGAAGCCGCTGCAATAGCGCCTACGATGTAAATGCACTGTGATAGTGTAATATAAAGCGCTGGAATAGCGCAGTGAGTGTGAAGGGCGCTGTGACAGTGCAGTGGGTGTGAGCACTGTTATAGTGCAATACTGAAAGACCGCTGTGGGTGGTTGGAAATCTTGGTGCCTGCTTGTGAGCGTCTGCAGCACAGCAGTTCCACGGAACACTGTCAGTTGAATTTTGGCCTCCCCACGGACGCGGCTCAAAGGGTGCCCAAGCTAAGTTCAGCCAGAGCCTTAAGCAAACAAATCGAGGATTTCTGAAATTTGTGGGCGAAATAACAACAGGCGCCACGCGCCATGCTGCTATTTCGGAGCTGGGCGCCCAGCTCCGAAATAAGGGCCCGGCGCGGGGCGGTTTCAGGACGAAAAGCTGGTTTGGCGATTCTCGCTCGAAAGCGTGTTCTGCTTAAACGCGCCCGGCGCCTGCTGCTATTTCGGAGCTGGGCGCCCAGCTCCGAAATAGCAGAAGGCGCCGGGCGCCTGTTGCTATTTCGGAGAACGACTGGCAATTTGCACTTTTGAGCCCTTCAATGAGTTGAAGCTGGCGCTTGAGATGTCTCCTGCTGCATGACCGTGTGCGCCGAGGGTGTTGAGTTCATGCGTGCCTGCTGCTGCAGCAAATCTGTGGCCCCACTTTTCTGCTGGCGTTCGTAGTGTGCCATGGCACGCTATCCCAGCGCTCGCCCTCTAAAGCGTTATCCCAGCGCTTGCCCTACAGAGCGCCCTGAGGCCCTGAGGCGCCATCACGGCGCTCTGTGTGAAGACGACGATGTCGAGTGCCTCTAGGGCCCTGAACGGACGCTGTAGGGTTTATCTGCTGGGTGTTTGGGGCTTCGGGGTTTAACGGCCCAGGTACGTTCAAGGTTTTTATTGGATGAAGGTTGTGTCTCAACCCGACAGTATGATTGAGTTGACTTTCAAAGGCTTAAGGTTTAGATACCAACCCTCTAAGAACCTTCTTTCGCTTGGGTTGGATGAGGCTGTCGGGCCCAGGCTTGGGGATTTCGACTGGGCCTTAGGGTTGACAGGGCTTAGGGTTCAGCGAACCTTGCGGTAAATTTTTAGCTTCCTCTCAGCAATCTATGGCGGGGCTTGTGGTGCATGGGCTAGTTTTGAGAAGGTTTTGGGTTTAGATGGCAACCCCCAGTAAACTGACTCTTCGAATTTGCGACCAGTGTCCCAGACCCGCAGAGGCTAAAGATCGCTGATCAGCCGCCTGTCCCTGCCTTTCAGGGCCCTCAGACATCGTGGAAAGCTCGGCATGCTAAGCTCGACACAACACGCTTCCACACACTCATTCATATTCTTATTGCGATTGAAGCGAAAACAAAAAGACACATATATGTGTATATGTATGTTTGTTTGTGTGGGGGGTTTGCAACGCAACAACTTCTATAAAGCGTCGCCCGCCCGATCCTGCAACACAGAATGTGGGGCTGGGTGGCTGGACGGGCTTTGCAAAGTTCCCCCCCCCTTTCAGCTTTATTTGGAAATTTTCACAGAGATGGTGGACTAGCATGGTATTTCATTCCAAGTGGACGCTGTCAAAATCCCACTTTTTGCTTAAGCCTTTTGCTTTTCGTTTATGCATTTTTCAATTTTCAAATTGCTCTTTTGGAGCCTTTGCTAAGCAAACCCAAGTTATCGGTGCCTCAACATTCCAAGCAGCACTGTCCTTCCTGGTCTTCGTGCTGTGAGGGAAACTGGGTATCGTCTGTCACCCTGTAGGGTTTAGGATCTAGGGTTTAAGGTTCAGGGCCTAGGGTTTAGGGTTCAGGGTCTCGGGTTTAGGGTTTAGGGTTACGTAGGGAATTCATATCTCCAAATCCCCAAACATTTTCCCAAATGTGAAGTTAAGCAGCAGCTTTCTTGTGGCCCAGCCAGGCATCCTGGTGGGGATCGCAACGACGCTGCAGACGACCACTGGCCAAGCCTTCGGAGCCCGGAACTTCGAGGAGGTCTCCCTGAGCTTGCAGCGGTGCTTTCTGCTCTGCCTCTTTGCCATAGTGTGGGGGGGGGGGGGGGGGTAGTATTTTGCGTTTTTTAAGGGTTTAGGGGTTCAGGGTTTAGGGGTTTTAGGGGTTTAGGGGTTTAGGGGTTTAGGGGTTCAGGGGTTTAGGGGTTTTAGGGGTTTAGGGGTTTAGGGGTTTAGGGGTTTAGGGTTTAGGGTGCTATCCCAACCGTGAACTAGGCCTGGTCATGCTGGGCCTCATCACTGCGCTGTGGCTGTGTAGTGAGCCCCTCCTGCTGGCGGTGGGGCAGGAGAAAGCGGTGGCGGCCCTGGCCGCCAGATACTTGAGATATCTCTTGCCAGGCTAGGACCTCAGAGTAGGGTTAGGGTCTAGGGTCTAGGGTCTAGGGTTTAGGGTTTAGGGTTTAGGGTTTAGGGTTTGGGTTCCCTTCCCTTTGTAAGCCCCCCTTTTAACCCAAAAGGGCGCCCTTCTTATTTCCCCAGTTTGCTCTTGATTCTAGCCAGGTGTGTGCTGCTACCTCGTCACGCAATGCTGTCAGAACTGGCTGGCGGCCCAGCGCATGACGGGCGTGCAGGCAACGGGTGGGTTTAGCGTTTAGGGTTTAGGGTTTAGGGTTTTAGGGTTTAGGGTCTTAGGGTTTTAGGGTTTTAGGGTTTTAGGGTTTTAGGGTTTTAGGGTTTTAGGGTTTTAGGGCTTTAGGGTTTTAGGGTTTTAGGGTTTAGGGTTTAGGGCTTAGCGTGCAGGCAACGGGTGGGCTTCTCCTGGCCGCCGTGTACCTTCCCCTCTGCTGGACGCTGGTCCATCCTTTGCCTCTTTGAAATGCACCCCAGGCGCTGCCCCAAACCACGAACAGCCTAAAACACCCAGGTGAGCCCCAGAGACCCCCCCCCAAAAAAAACAAAACAAAAAAGGCTGTCCCAGATTAACAATACCCCCCACCCCCCCCGCGCCGCGCCTCCCTCCCTCCTTTCAAGAGCCCGGTATCAGCCCAGGAAGCTAGGATTCATCGGCGCGGCCATCGCCACGTCCCTGAGCAACGGCGCCTTGGCGCTGTGGATGATCTTCCGGACCACCGGCTCCCTGCGCACGGCCCTGCCGAACTCCTGGCAAGGCACAGGATCCCCCCCCACAGCAATGACTAGGAATTGCTGGAGAAGCCCCCCCAGAAACAAAGTTGTTCCTTTAGGGTAATGTAGGGATGATCATCGTTCATTCTTTGGGGTTCTTAAGCAGCAACCTAGTAGATGAGAGGATCCCTGAAGCCCAGCACGCCTGAAGCTGCGAAGCTCTCAACTGCACTGTACAGTGCCCCTGAGAGGCTTCTCAAGGTCCGCTTTCTCTGCATGGTCGCCTTTCCTGAAGCTGGCCGTTCCCAACTTCCTGATGATCTCGGTGCCGCGGCATCTAGAGTTCAGGGAGGTCAAGAAGGATGAGGGTCAGTCAAGAGCTTGGGGCAAGGAAGGTCCCGATACGCCCCATTTAAGCCCCTGAAGCCTTTGGTACCTCATTGGGGGGTCCCTAGTATACGGGGATCCTTCTAATTGGGGTCCACTTTAGAGGCTCCCTATTTTCGTAAAACTCCCCCAAGTGAGTCTATTCCCGAAAAGCAGGGGTTGTATCCTCAGTCGCAGAACCACCCCCTCCTAGCACGAGACTACAGGTAAGGAGGTAATCAGGGTCCCGAAGACCGAAACCCTAAACCCTAAACCCTGAACCCTAAACCCTAAACCCTAAACCCTAAGCCCTAAGCCCTAAACCCTAAACCCTAAACCCTAAACCCTAATCCCTCGAACCTTCCCAGGAATGGTGGGCCTCTGAAATCATCGTTTTGATGTCGGGCACCTTGCCCGATGCAGAGGCAGGGTTTAGGGTTTAAGGTTTAGGGTTTAGGGTTTAGGGTTTAGGGTTTAGGGTTTAGGGTTTAGGGTTTAGGTGTGGGGGGGTTTAAGCCCCAAGAGGTTGCGGCAGTTTGGCTGCTAGCTGGGTTGTGCTTCGGGGTAGCTTGTTAAAGCTGCGGTTTCATTCCTTATGAGGCAAGCTATTCTTCACAAACCACTTTTCGAAGGGTCTTAAATACAAGCGCAACTCGGACAATTTCCAAGTCGAGTTGCGCCGAAGACCTCAGGGCTTGCCCTAAACCCTAAACCCTAAACCCTAGACCCTAAACCCTAAACCCTAAACCCTAAACCCTAAACCCTAAACCCTAAACCCTAGGGCGTCGCGTCCTTAGGGCTGGCCATTCCTGAGTCCTCATCCCCTTTTCAAAGGCTTGCGGGGAACCCCTTGCGTTGCAAGAACGCTTACCGCAGGAATTAAGGCCCCTATTGGGTTTAGGGTTTAGGGTTTAGGGTTTAGGGTTTAGGGCCTAGGGTTTAGGGTGTAAGTTTAGGGTTCCTCACTTAAGAGGTGTTGGGTTCACTGGAGAGGTGAGCCTCACTGCCATGGCGATCTTTTCCAACACCTGCGCGGTCTGCTGCTCGGAGGAACTCCGAAAGACCTCCTGGAGGGCGTCCGATTTGTGTTAGGGTTTAGGGTTTAGGGTTTAGGGTGTAGGGTTTAGGGTTTAGGGTTTAGGGTTTAGGGTTTAGGGTTTAGGGTTTAGGGTTTAGGGTTTAGGGTTTAGGGCCTTTCGAGTTTTGTGTTTAGGGAGTTTCCACATCGAGTGTAGGGTCATCCTCTTTTTGTGGTTCAGGGGAAGGCTGGGGAAGCCAGCTCCTTGAGCCATGATTCGGTTTAGGGTTTAGGGTTTAGGGTTTAGGGTTTAGGGTTTAGGCTTTAGGCTTTAGGCTTTAGGCTTTAGGCTTTAGGCTTTAGGCTTTAGGCTTTAGGCTTTAGGCTTTAGGCTTTGCAAGGTTTTGGGATCTCTACCAGAAGCTGCAAAGCGTACAGAAAAGAAGCTAGACTTGTCGGTTCTGTCGTCCACGGAGGTACATGCTTCCGATGGTGCCCAGCCGCCAACCCCCAAGCCCTAAACCCTAAACCCCAAACCCTAAACCCTAAACCCTAAACCCTCGAGAGCATGGAGCTCTGCCTCCACCCGAATGACGCCCCATAATCCGATATGCCCCAAGCCAAAACACCAGACGAACCCTATACGCAATCCCCTAAGCACCCTGTGGAAACCCCCCAAACCCAGAAACCCCCCAACCCACCCCCAAAAAACTCTACGAGCCCCGAACCTCAGACCCTAAACCCCCTAAACACCCAAAACCCCTTAAACCCTAAACATCAAGCCCTAAACCCCCAACATCAACCCCCTAGAGCCCTGAACCCTCAAGCCTGACACACCCTACACCCTAAACCCTACACCCTACACCGTAAACCCTAAACCCTAAACCCTAAACCCTAAACCCTAAACCCTAAACCCTAAACCCTAAACCCCCCAAACCCCCTGGAGGTTTCATGCCGCCCCTCAGCTGGGGCATGGCAGCGAGCCTCGTCATGGTTTGGGATTTCTGGTCCCTACGCTCCTAAACCCTAAACCCTAAACCCTAAACCCTAAACCTTAAACCCTAAACCCTAAACCCTAAACCCTAAACCCTACCTCCGAAACTTCCCAGCACCTCCCGGATTGGATGTTTCGGGGATGACTCCTGAACCCTTCAACCCCTAAACTCCCCCCCCCCCCCCCCGAGAGCTCAGGAACACCCGAGTCAGCAACGAGTTGGGCGCGGGAAAGCCCCGCGCCGCCAAGTTCGCCGCGCAGGTGAGCTTCTGGTCGCGCGTCTCAAAGAGCTTCGTACTTTTTGTAATGGCAAACCCCGAAAGGCCCCCCACCTCAATCTTGCTTTTTCCTTTTTGGCCGAAAGTTGCCTTAGCAAGAAAGCCACTAAGCCTAAAACGGCTAAAGATCTGAAACCCGAAGCCCTCAAGAACCCCAAGAGTCTAGGGCTCATCGGGCTTGGAGTTTAAGGTTTAAGGGCTGTATACTTGGAGGTTCATGGCTACCCATAAGTATGGTTACAATATTTGCCCAGCTAACATCTTCTTTTGGAGTTTAGGGTTTGCCCACCAAGCATCTTCTTTTGGGGTTTAGGGTTTGCCCACCCGAAATCTTCTTCCTTTTAAGGCTTAGGGCTTGCCAACCCACATCTTACGGGCTTCAGTATGCCGTGTGCCCAGTGCCCACCCAGTATTTTCTTTTAGGGGTTAGAAAGTTGCAGAAATACATACATCGATCAAGCAAGGTATATATGTATATATACATGGTCTTATATAATTATATATATATCTATCTATCTATCTATCTATCTATCTATCTATCTATCTATCTATCTATCTATCTATCTATCTATATGTGTGTGTATCTGTCTATATATATATATATGTATACATATATGTCAATGTGTTTGAGCACTTTTCGCGGTGCCTGGGGTGTGGAGATCGGTCCTTCAACAGTGAAGATCGCCTCGTGGGAGAAGCTCCCCAAACCTTCACAATGGTTTGGCCTCTGCGGTGAGGGTGAGGTCATCCCTAAACCCTAAACCCTAAACCCTAAACCCTAAACCCTAAACCCTAAACCCTAAACCCTAAACCCCCTTCCCCCCCTCCCCCTGTCCCAACCACTCCCAACCACCCACGACCCCAACGTCGGGCACTCCTTAGGGTTTAGGGTTTAGGGTTTAGGGTTTACGGTTTAGGGTTTAGGGTTTAGGGTTCAGGGGTGTAGGGGTTTAGGGGTTTAGGGGTTTAGGGGTTTAGGGGTTTAGGGGTTTAAGGGTTAGGGGTTTACAGATGAAGATCCCTCGCCCTCATAGAACCCTGAAGCTTCAGTTTGGGGTCTATAGGGTTTCCCTGAAAGACTGAGATTCCATCTGATTATAGGTGCGTTTGAGTAGGATGAGTACGTCCAACATTTCGTGTTACAGAATTCCAGCAGCGGATGCAGGCATACCCTGAGCTTCCCCCCAACACCCTGAACCCTATGAACACCCCGGACCCCGAACCGTCGCAGACCTTCAGTACAAATCCGAACTACGGGTTCTGCTTGTCGCATCCGCGATCAACATGGGGTTATAGCGTGACTTGAGATCCTCTGCCTATCTCCCTGAGTCCTTAGTGTACTCACATGGTCCCTTAATTACTATGGGCCCTAATTTGCAAAACCCTTGTATACCCGTTAGGGCCGGGCAAGCTGGTACGATCACATAGTTAAACAGGCACCCCCGGCCAAGAGGACAAAGGCGCTACAGTAGGGTTTAGGGTTTGGGGTTGGGGGTTTTGGGGTTTAGGGTTGAGGTTTAAAGGGTTTACGATCTTCCCCCTTCTGAGTTCGGGCATTTGCCTGGCCGCTGCCATCGCGCTGGTGGTGCTTCATGGCTCTGCAAAGAAGGGGGACTCGGGCCCTAATGCTACCACTACCACATAGCAGGCCCACGTCTCCACCCGGGAACCCCATAATAGTAATAGTATAATAGTAATAGTAATAGTAATAGTATAATAGTATAATAGTATAATAGTATAATAGTAATAGTAATAGTAATAGTAGTAGTAATAGTAATAGTAATAGTAATCGTAATAGTAATAGTAATAGTAATAGTATGAACTGCTTTCTAGCCCAGCCCCGCCATATACCCCAAAAGGAACAGCAGAAAGTTGCAAGGCCCGTGATGCGGATGTTCCAGCGCCCTTTGGGGGCCTGAGATTAAAGCCCTGAACCCTAAACCCTAAACCGTGGTAATTCGGGTTTAGGGTTTTCAGTTCAGGGTTTGGGGAGTTTAGGTTGAAGGTTTGCCTTTGTCAAGTTTTCTTTCTTTGCTTTTCTCCGTGTCTCAAGCCCTGCAACGCCCCCCCCCCCCCCCCCCCCCCCCCCCCCCCCCCCCCCTCCCCCCCCCCCCCCCCCCCCCCCCCCCCCCCGCCCCCTCCCCAGACTCTTAAGACCCTACAGTGCCAGTGAGGGTTTAGACATTGACCTTTCATCCCAAACCCTATACCCTAAACCCTAAACCCCAAATGCCCTAAATCCTCCAGTTCGGCAAACTCCTTCCGCAGCAGAGCCGCCTCTTCCCCAAGCGCAACACCCGCTCCTAGACCCTAAGCCCTGAAAGCCCCTCCTAAAGCCTGGCCCTAAACCCTAAACCCTAAACCCTAAACCCTAAACCCTAAACCCTAAACCCTAAACCCTAAACCCTATACCCTAAACCCTAACCCTAAACCCTAAACCCTAAACCCGCTGTGTCTATCGAAGCCCAACAAGCCTTAAACTTCCCCCGGAACCTTTCAAATCACCCCCACCCCCCCCCAACCCTTCTTAAACCCCTAAACCCCAAACCCAGACTCTCTGAAGCCCCCAAAGCTCCCCCCTCAAACCTCATTGAACCACCCCAAAAGCCGCAAATCCTGCCAAAACCTCAAACTTAAACCCTACAAACCCTATAAACCCTATAAACCCTCCAAACCCTACAAACCCCATAAACCCTATAAACCCTATAAACCCTATAAACCCTACAAACCCTATAAACCCTACAAACCCTACAAACCCTATAAACCCTATAAACCCTATAAACCCTACAAACCCTACAAACCCTATAAACCCTACAAACCCTACAAACCCTATAACCCCTATAAACCCTATAAACCCTACAAACCCTACAAACCCTATAAGCCCTACAAGCCCTACAAACCCTATAAACCCTACAAGCCCTATAAACCCTATAAACCCTATAAACCCTATAAACCCTATAAACCCTAAACCCTAAACCCTATAAACCCTATAAACCCTATAAACCCTATAAACCCTAAACCCTATAAACCCTATAAACCCTACAAGCCCTATAAACCCTATAAACCCTAAACCCTAAACCCCAAACCCTAAACCCTATAAACCCTATAAACCCTATAAACCCTAAACCCTAAACCCTATAAACCCTACAAGCCCTATAAACCCTATAAACCCTAAACCCTACAAACCCTACAAACCCCATAAACCCTACAAACCCTACAAACCCTACAAACCCTATAAACCCTACAAACCCTACAAACCCTACAAACCCTACAAACCCTACAAACCCTACAAACCCTACAAGCCCTATAAACCCTATAACCCCTAAACCCTAAACCCTATAAACCCTATAAACCCGATAAACCCTATAAATCCTAAACCCTATAAACCCTATAAACCCTAAACCCTAAACCCTATAAACCCTATAAACCCTATAAACCCTACAAACCCTACAAACCCTACAAACCCTATAAACCCTACAAGCCCTATAAACCCTATAAACCCTATAAACCCTATAAACCCTATAAACCCTATAAACCCTACAAACCCTATAAACTCGCACGTCCCAGGCTCCTGGGCCGGCGAGCCTGGCTAAGGCTCTTCACCTCCGAACCTGAGGTGCAAGTGCTCGTGGGGTCTTCAGACGGTCCTGTCGGGGGTTTAGGGTTTAGGGTTTAGGGTTTAGGGTTTAGGGTTCAGGGTTTAGGGTTTAGGGTTTAGGGTTTCAAGCAGCTTAGGTTTTATAGTTTTGGGTTTAGGGTTTTAGGCTCGAAAGGCCGGAGCCGAGAAGTTAAAGGGTTAGGGGAGGGGGCGTTGTACGGTTTTGGGTCTGGAGATTTGGTGTTTGTTCAGGCCGGGCACCAGGCTCTGGGTTTTGGAGTTGGGGGCGTTATCACAGGCTTGTGATTTCCTGGGCGGTTTAGGGTTTAGGGTCTAGGGTTTAGGGTTTAGGGTCTAGGGTCTAGGGTTTAGGGTTTAGGGCTACCAAGGGGCTCAGGGTGTTTGATTTCGGGGAGCTTCTTGTCTCGGGCTTTAGGGGAACGGTGTGGCAATTTTGATTTTGGGGCAGGATGAATACAGAAACGCGTGCTGTTTAAACCCCTGTGATGCCGGCTACGGGCCAAGACGGCGCATCGATGTTCATTGGGGTACTTATCAAAGTGGGGCCAGAAGTTGAAAGTAGGGACATCGATGGCTAGAATCCTTATCTAGGGTAGTTCGCACCCTACTTGTAAGTACCCTATAACTGGACCTTCAAACAATTTTGGGCACTGGAACTGACGGTCTGGCCATGAGAGGGCGAGATGAACGATACTTCTTGTAGGTTTAGGGTTTAGGGTTTAGGGTTTAGGGTTTAGGGTTTAGGGTTTAGGGTTTTAGGGTTTAGGGTTTAGGGTTTAGGGTTTAGGGTTTAGGGTTTAGGGTTTAGGGTTTAGGGTTCTTATAACGACCCTAGATTGGGGGGTTACCATAGTACTTACAACCCTGCTCCATGAACCCATCCAGGTAGCAGTGGCTCAAGTCACTTCTACCTTAGAACTGCCCGAAATTTGGTTGTTACCGTAGTACCTTTAACCCCACTTAGGAGTACCCATAAACCTCCAAGTGCCGTAGCTCAAGTCACGTGGTCATGTGTGCAAGTGCAAGAGTGATTCAGGTGCTGGACTACGCCGATCCAATCATGTCGATCTGCGCAATCTACGTCGCCCTGGACGGCATGTGCACTGCACCCCCGGCAGGTTTCATCACGTGCGAGGTGTTGGCCTTTCATTGGTTGATTTATCGCAGGGCTTGACCGGGTTTGACCCTAAACCCGAAACCCTAAACCCTCACAAGGCTGTGCCCACAACATAGCAACGTCAACCTGGTGGCTGCCAATCCTTGGGGGGTGTTTATTATTCTCTCGCCCCTGTAATGTAGTATTATACCGTACGTCTGTTTTTGCTTCTTATGCTACTACCTTTTAGCAGATGTAACGGGGGATTTAATGTTTAACAGAGTGCATTCGATGTTGTGCCTAGGGTTAAGGGTTTAGGGTTTAGGGTTTCGGGTCTACGGTTTGGGGTTTAGGGCTTAGTCAAGAACGCTGAAGTTCTTGATCTCCCCCCCCCCTCCCCCCCAGCTCGACTCGTTTCAAAGGTCGCTTCTGGATCGCTCAAAGGATGTGGCCGAGACCTGCCTTCATTGGACTATCCCCCCCTGGGGAAATTATTTCTTATTTTGCCTTATAAAACCAAGAGGAGCTTAAAAACTATATGTTTATCAAGGTTCTGAGGGGAGTATAGCCTTCATTGGAGACCCTACCCCAACCACCCTGGCCCTGGGGCGCTAAGGTTGAGGTTTCGGGTTTGGGGTTTGGGGTTTAGGATGTATGATTTATGATTTAGGGTTTAGGGTTTAGGGTTTAGGGTATGATGTAGAGTTAGAGTCTAGTTTCGGGTGTCCAGGTTGGCGTGCCTGCCGCAGAGTGTCATCTCGCATTCGAGTGCATCGTGCTATTCAAGCGGATGCCAAGTCCTGCTTTTAGGTGGCTCTTCCGTTTGTTCCTGCAATTCTGGTAACTTGATCTAATGTCCTTAGCAAGATAAAAAATCGTGTCGAGAAGACGAGAATGGGTGCACTTGCCCGCCTTACCCGCCGTGTCTTTGTGAAGAAGAGCATGCTGAGAGGGTTTAGGGTTTAGGGTTTAGGGTTTAGGATTTAGGGTTTAGGGTTTAGGGTTTAGGGTTTAGGGTTTAGGGTTTAGGGTTTAGGGTATGTTTTTGTGGTCACAAGTAGATCCAGCCAGCACTGGCTTCGGTCGCGCAGAAAACCTGGCAACAGCCCAGTTGGTCCCAACCCTGGGCCCCTGGGTTCAGGACTTCGGCTTTGGGGTATAGGGTTTAGGGTTTTTAGGGTTTAGGGCTAAGGTTTAGGGTTTAGGGTTTAGGGTATAGTATTTAGGGTTTAGGGTTTAGGGTCTAGGGTTTAGGGTTTAGGGTTTCGGGTGTAGGGTGTAGGGTTTAGGGTTTAGGGTTGTACTACATTGACCACTTATTTAAGCTGCAGGTACTCCCATTCGCCTCATCTTTCCGTCCGTTGGCTCTCGCACTACTTAGGACAGCTGATCCTGGCACCCATCGTCATTTTCGCCTACTACGTGGCAGCCAGCCTGAAGAGCGAAAGTGGGGTCACAACACCAAACTCCGAAGCCCTAAACCTGAGAAGCCCTGAAACTCCAAAAAGCCCAAAAGGTCTTGAAGAAACTGTTAAAGCGTTTTGAGGTCTTTTTTGGTTGTCGTTCGCTAGTTTTGTTTTTCGTTTTAAGGGCTCCTAGGGTTAAGGGTAGCACGTGTCTGGGACCCCGAAGGCTGTACTCCTAAGAGCTCCCCTTCCTATACTCCGAATATCGCCCTTATATTCCCTTAGCTAAAGGGTCCCCAACCTTAAAGGTCCAAGGCAGAATCGGGTGCAGGGTCGAGAGAGGGTTATTTTCAGGGTTGCCGTGCTAGCGGTTGGTTTCACTTGTGCTCAGACTTCTTTGCGGATCACCCTTCGAATGTTCACATGAAGCCCAAAAACTTGCGTTTTCCCGCTAACAGTCCTTAGTAGGGATGATAGTACCCCCTACTATAAGCCCTATTGAGACTGGTAGTATAAGGGGGAACAGCCCAACCTAGAATCCAACACCCGAGACTCTAAACCTACCTTAAAAAACCCAAAACCTACTTTCTCGTAGTAGATTCTAGGTCTAGCAGTCTAGCAACCTTATAGTATTCTCAGGTGACCTATGCAAAAAAGAAGGTTTAGGGTTCTCAAGCTAAACCCTATGTCAAACATTTTCCAGGCTGGCATTCCCAGCGCATGGGCCCTGGCCTGGCCAGGACGGATCCCAGCGATTTTTTTTGTGTCTGTTTTGACAAGTCGAAATTTAGGGTTTGGGATAGGGTTTGGGGTTTGGGGTTTGGGGCTTAGGGTTTAGGATTTCGGGTTTAGGGTTTAGGGTTTAGGGTTAGGGTTTGAGAAGTCAAAGTTTGGGGTTTGGGGTCTAGGCTTTGAGGCTTGGGGCCAAGCCCCCCAAGCCCTAAACCATGGGATAGCTGCGGGGTTTGGCCCGGTTTCCCTAAACCCTAAACCCTAAACCCTAAACCCTAAATCCTAAACCCTCAAACCCTAAACCCTAAACCCTAAACCCTAAACCCTAAACCCTAAACCCCAGACCCTAGAAACCCTAAACCCTAAAAGCCCTAAACCCTAAACCCAAACCCTAAACCCTAAACCCATTCCTTGGGTTGGGTGGACAAAGGGGCCATGGCTCCCTTGCCCCCTTTCAGAGCCTCAAAAGCAGGCCCTATAACACCTCTGAACATCAAAACGCCTTGGGTTTGTTTTTGGGAAACTTGAGGATCAACAAACACGCACGCGGCGCAAAAACATACCCTCAAAGCCCTTCAGCTGGGGCCCAGAGTAGGCCTTTACTCCCGATTCCCCTTTTTAGGGTTCCAGTTTCCTTTACAAGCCATTGTACACATAAAAGGTACCCGTTTTGTTCCTAGGTTACGCTTGGGTCGTTAACAAACAATCAAACCCTATATCCTAAACTCTAAGTCCTCAACCCTAAACCCTAAACCCTAAGCCCTAAACCCTAAGCCCTAAACCCTCAACCCTAAACCCTCAAACCTAAACCCTACACACTAAACTGTTCTTCGAGGACATCTCAGCACGCGTGGCCTGGCCATGGGTTCGACGATCGGAACTGCAACGCACTGCTTGCTCTTTGCGGTGGAGAGCTCAGGGGGGTTTACGGTTTTAGGGTTTAGGGTTTAGGGTTTATAGGGCTTATAGGGTTTATAGGGTTTAAAGTCTCGTGGCATGGGGGTTTCCGAAAATACGGGTACGCACCGTATTGTGTTCCTATTGCAAGGTACAATTTGGGGTTCTATTTCAGGGGTCCCCGATTGTCGTAACCCCCCATATGGGCTTAAGGGGTTGGGGTTTTGGTTGGGCTTCTGTTTTGGGGTCCCCGGTTCTCGTAACTCCCCATATGGGCTTAATGGTTTTTTACTGGATTTGTAGGGCTTGAATGGGTTTTGCCCATGGATGTATTCAGTTTTAGGGCTCGGGGAAAAGGAAGCGGGGTGTTGCAAGTTGCGCGAAAAGGGTCAAATTGGAGCGCGCACGTCGTGTGCGCCTAGATCCCGCAGACCTAGGCCTAGGCCTTCTAACGCCTGGTTCCTTATCTCCTGGGCCCTAAACCCTAAACCCTAAACCCCAAACCCCAAACCCTAAACCCTAAACCCCAAACCCTAAACCCTAAACCCCAAACCCTAAACCCTAAACCCCAAACCCTAAACCCTAAACCCTAAACCCTAAACCCTAAACCCTAAACCCCAAACCAAGGCGATGCTCTGGAGGACCGACTGGCCCCAGATGTCCCGGTTGGCCCGGCAGCGCGCGCTGGCGAAGCCCCTGATCCAGATGGACGATCGAGCCTTGGTCACAAAAGGCCTTCGGGTTTAGGGTTTTTAGGGTTTAGGGGTTTAGGGTTTTTGGGGTTTAGGGTTTGGGGTTTAGGGTTTGGGGTTTAGGGTTTGGGGTTTAGGGTTTGGGGTTTGGGGTGTAGGGTTTAGGGTTTGAGGTTTGCTTGGTAGCCCAGCGGTGCCCCTTTTGGGTTCAAGGTTCCCTTATGAAGTAGCCAACCCACAAAATGGTGCCCTTATTGTAACATGGTTGCTGCGCCACCAAGAAAAGCTTGTCGAGTGCTGCTCACACTCTTAATTGGTGCTTTTGGGAGCACATGCCTCCTACACCAACTGATCGATTCCGATTGGGGTAAGTCCTGAAGACCAGCTCCAAGGACGATGCACTGGAAGTGCTGCTTACTTCGAGGTTCATGAGCACTTAGAAGTAGGGTTTTTAAGTAGGGGACCGCATTATGGTAGTCATATCCCTACTTATTTGTGTCCATGAACCTTCAAGTCGGCTATCATTAGAGCTCAGAATCCTACACCTTCAGCCCTCCAACTGGACGGGAGCCGTGGACAGCAGACCACCACGGCTTTTCCGGTTTTCTGGGGCTTACAGGGTCAGGGTTTAGGGATTTCACAGGGCTTTCATATTTTTGTTGTACGGTTTGGGGTCGGGCTTCAGGCTCCAACAGCCTAAGCCGCAATCATAAGCATTAGGCATTTAGCCCTCGGATTGTTGATTGTTCATCTTTTTTCTGCCAAACCTCAAGCCTCTTTAAGACCTAAACCCTATAGACTCTACGACCTAAACCCTTTACCCCCTCAGACCTAAACCCTATACACCCTTAGACCTCCCTATAGACTCTGGTACCCAACAGGCTTCTTGAAGGATTCAGGGATTCACTGGTGGGATTTAAGGCGTTGACAATAAGCTTGGCTCCTGCGTTTGTTGAATGTAAAACGCGGAGCTGGGTTCAACTTTCCGCTCGAACAGTTGCACGGTGAGAACTTTATTGACGTCACTTATGACCCCGCCTATAAGTGTCCATGAACCTTCAAGTGGGGCTTTGGGATCCCAAACTCCTAAACCATGTTGAAGGAGTTGTCCACTGCTTAGGAAAAAACTTTCCTGAAAGACCGTGCCCAGCCGAACTGTCACGCATCACACACGGCATACCCTAAGCCCCAAACCCTAAACCCTAAACCCTAAACCCTTCAAGGACGGGAGAACGGTGGCACATGTGCCGGAGGATGACCCGACGCCACATGAGCCGAGAAATCCGTGATGGATGAATGCAAACCTAAGGTTTAGGGTTTAGGGTTAGGGTTTAGGGTTTAGGGTTTAGGGTTTAGGGTTTAGGGTTTAGGGTTTAGGGTTTAGGGTTTAGGGTTTAGGGTTTAGGGTTTAATTAGGGTTTAGGGTTTAGGGTTTAGGGTTTGGGGTTTGGGGGTTAGGGTTTAGGGTTGAGGCTTTTGAATGTGGCAGAACCCCGCCACTTCCGCATGTGCCGGACTTCTGCTTTCTTCGTGGATTTTGTGTTCTGAGTGGTAAACCCCTAAACCCCCTAAAACCCCTAAACCCCTAAACCCCTAAACCCCCTAAACCCCCTAAACCCCCTAAACCCCCTAAACCCCTAAACCCCCACACCCCTAAACCCCTACTGGATTTTCCGCCCTGTGATGTCTGGGTGCTTTTCGGCCCCCCACGGCTCTGCTGGCATCGCCTTGGAAACCGCAAGGCGCAAAGTGCCCGAAACCCTCAAACCCCCCCCCCCCCCACCCCCCAAAACCCCAAAGGCTCGAAGACCCTAAACCATGGAAGTTTAGGACTTAGGGTTTAGGGTTTAGGGTTTAGGGTTTAGGAGAACCCGAAGGCCCCTAAAGCCCCGAAGCCTGGAAACCTTAAGCCCTACCTAAACTGCGGTCTCCAGAGCTCGTTGGAACCGGAGAAAAATGAGCAACATGGAAGTGTGCGCTCACAAAGCCGTAAGTGACCCGAAATGGCCCTAAACCCTAAACCCGAAACCCGAAACCCTACTCTCACATACTCCACCAACTCAAAGTGCCTGGCAACCCTGAGGAACCCTACACTCTCTCACCCCCGAACCCTAAATGGCCCTGAACTGTGTAAATCCTCGACCCCGAAGAGCCTTAAACCCCTAAATGACTCTAAACTCTCAGCCCTCGGGTAGCGGTCCATCTGCAGACTCTGCAACTGCCCAATGGAAGCACTTAATGTGCATCACTCATACCCTAAAACCTAAACCCTGATCCCTCAACGTGAAATTTGATCCTAAACCCTAAATCAAGAGCCAATACGAAGCCCACCCTCCCCCCCCCCCGCCCACCCACCGACTTCCAGCCCGAAACCCTAAACCCTAAACCCTAAACCCTAAACCCTAAACCCTAAACCCTAAACCCTTTGGATCTGAAACCCCAAGCCATGGGAAGCTTCCATCCCAACTGCTTAGTGCTCATTGAGGCCCTCATGGCCGTGCTCCCAAAAGGTCGCCCAGGGTTTAGGGTTTAGGGTTTAGGGTTTAGGGTTTAGGGTTTAGGGTTTAGGGCTTGGGGTAGAAGTATATGAATCTTGGATAGTGCAAGAGGTCAAGGAACCCTAAACCCTTAACCCTGAACCTCCAAGGACTTTAGATTCCTGAAGAGGCCCAGGCTTCATTTCCCGGAAGTCTCTGGCTGGTTGGCTTTGGGGCTAGGGCTAGAGCATTGCGAGCTCAGGACTTCGGGTTTAGGGGCTGAGGTTTGAGATGCTCAGCGATTTGGCGTAAAAGGGGGCAGCGGGGTTTGAGGATTTCAGGTGTTAGGGCTTGGAAACTCCAAAGTCTGAGGGTTTAGGGTTTAGGGCCAAATCTGCGCTGGGGATAGTACAGGAGCTTGAAGAATGGGCTAATCATATCCCTTCCCTCACCACCTTGTGAACCTACCTTGGGGACGAAATGAACCCTAAAAGGGTTTATGGTTCATACACCTTAACCCCAAGTATGGGGTTCATTTCGTCCGCAAGGTACACTCAACTTCCAAGTTCAGTGCCTAGAGGTTCTAGTTGAGTAAGCCTCATCCTTCTGAAGACCACAACCCCTCGGCACATCTCCTGAAGTAGAAACTCAATCCCCCTAAGCCCAAAACCCAAAACCCTCAACCCTCAATCCTAAACCCTAAACCCTAAACCCTAAACCCTAAACCCTAAACCCTAAACCCTAAACCCTAAACCCTAAACCCTAAACCCTAAACCCTAAACCCTAAACCCTAAACCCCACGTTTGTGCAGGCTCTGCGGTGCACCTTCTGAACACTGGCATGGCCCAGTTCCTGGCTGCCTGGCTGCAATAGCTGTGAAGCGTTTGGCATGCAAAAAAAGCCGACCGACATGCAGGGCTGGGTTTAGGGTTTAGGGTTTAGGGTTTAGGGTTTAGGGTTTAGGGTTTAGGGTTTAGGGTTTAGGGTTTAGGGTTTAGGGTTTAGGGGTTAGGGTTTAGGGTTTAGGGTTTAGGGTTTAGGGTTTAGGGTTTAGGGTTTAGGGTTTAGGGTTTAGGGTTTAGGGTTTAGGGGTTAGTGTTTAGGGTTTAGGGTTTAGGGTTTAGGGTTTAGGGTTTAGGGTTTAGGGTTTAGGGTTTAGGGTTTAGGGTTTAGGGTTTAGGGTTTAGGGTTTAGGGTTTAGGGTTTAGGGTTTAGGGTTTAGGGTTTAGGGTTTAGGGTTAGGTTTAGGGTTTAGGGTTTAGGGTTTAGGGTTTAGGGTTTAGGGTTTAGGGTTTAGGGTTTAGGGTTTAGGGTTTAGGGTTTAGGGTTTAGGGTTTAGGGTTTAGGGTTTAGGGTTTAGGGTTTAGGGTTTCGGGTTAGGGTTTAGGGTTTAGGGTTTAGGGTTTAGGGTTTAGGGTTTAGGGTTTAGGGTTTAGGGTTTAGGGTTTAGGGTTTAGGGTTTAGGGTTTAGGGTTTAGGGTTTAGGGTTTAGGGTTTAGGTTAGGGTTTAGGGTTTAGGGTTTAGGGTTTAGGGTTTAGGGTTTAGGGTTTAGGGTTTAGGGTTTAGGGTTTAGGGTTTAGGGTTTAGGGTTTAGGGTTTAGGGTTGGCGGTCCGGTGGAGGTTTCGGGCTGGTGGCCCGAGATGCAAGGAGACTAAGGGGGTCGGGCCCCGAGATGCAAAAAAATGAGGGGTGGCGGGCGGATGTTTCGGGCTGGGGGCTCAAGATGCAAAACAATGAAGACTGGCCGACATGCAGGGTGGGTTGGCTGCCCGCGATGCGAGAAAGTCTTCCTCTCCTTTTCGTTGTAATTTCAAGCTCAAGTGATCTGAGGTGGGAGATAATAAGCCATACCATCGTAGGACTTGAGGCCGACTTTTCATGGTCGGCTGCCCCCCCCGATGCAAGCTGCTGCACCCCGGGAAGCTCTTTACATCTCGGGCAGACTTTTTTGTTGCATGTCGGTCAGCCAACTCCCTTAAGCATCATTAGCGAACCCTAAACCCTAAACCCTAAACCCTAAACCCTGTTAAGGTTAACGGTCATAAGGGCTTAGGGTCACTCTCGCTCCCTGCTCCCAACGGTTGCCGTCGTTGAGGGTTCAAGATGTAGGGCTCAAGCCGGGGGACTCCATGCACCCACACTTTCTACATGCTTATGCTTCCTAGTTCCTTGGCAGTCTACTACTTGGAGGCTCATACCTCCTAGTTCCTTGGCAGTATACTATACTGCTTGGAGGTTCATGGACCCTTAGAAGTAAGGTTACAAGTAAGTATACTACTTGGAGGTTCATGGGTCCTTAGAAGTAAGGTTATAAGTAGGAAGTAGGTAGTATACTACTTGCAGGTTCATGGGTCCTTAGAAGTAAGGTTACAAGTAGGCAGCTCTTTTAGGACCTCATGTAGTACACTTGCAACCCCACTTAGAAGTACCCTGACCTAAACCTTATAAACCCTATAAACCCTATAAACCCTATAAACCTTCTATAAACCCTATAAACCCCATAAACCCTAGATAAACCCTATAAACCTTCTATAAACCCTATAAACCCTATAAAACCTATAAACCCTATAAACCCT